CACCAAAATAAAGCTTTATCTGTCTCAAAAAAATGCTAAAAATTCATATGGGTACAGTGTTGCATGACCGCGCAATTGTCATTCAAAGTGTGATAGCACTGAAAGCTGAAAATTGGCCTGGGCAGGAAGGGGGTAAAAGTGTCCGGACTGGAAGTGGTTAATAAAATAATGTTGGGAATGCAGAGTACTATGATTTTTTTTTTTTGAGTGAATGGTGGCATTCTTTCCCATGGATGGATGAGGATGAAGATGGATTATGTAACCAGGAGTTTGCAAAGGAAAAAAAACAGATGAAGAAAGTGAGAGCATGCTACTGGTGGTGTCAGCGTTGCACAGTGTATAGCGGTATAGTGATATGAAGGCACACAATTGCATGTGAAGGAGCAAACGTGGTGTGGATTGGTCAAATAAAAGAACTGTATTACAGAGGCAATAAAAGACATGGACATTGATACATGATGGACTTGAAAAGGTTTATTGCAAAAAATTTGAAAAATATTCATGTGGTATGTTTATTTATATATCACTGAGGTGGAATTGATGGGTTTGATAAATAAGAGATATTGTGTGGCACTGTTTTATTTGGTTTTGTGTGTATTGGCCATATTTATAAAAATAAATAGAATAACATTCTTATGATTTTCTTTCAGCTGTCCTGTTTTAGCTATTCTTATGTAAAAGTAAAACCAAGTCATTGACATCTTTTGACCTTGAACTAGCACCTAACAGGATTGGTGATGATGTTGACAGTCTGGCAGAGGGGTATGGGGACATAATTGGCATTTCAATGGGGGGACTGTAATTGTAAAATGGTTAAAAACACCAAATAAACTTATTTAAAATAAACTTAGCCTAAGGTCATTTTAGGTTCTCTTCAAGTTCCCCAAAAAAAAATCCACTTTCTTGTAACAAGAGAGTCAGGAAAGATCTAAAGCCTCGGATAGTAAAATTATTCCCCACTTTGTCTAAAACACCAAAATATTTTGGCTGGACATACACTTTAATAACCACATGCCCTCCAGAGGATTTTCCCCCCTCCTGACCAGGCCATTTTTTGCAAAACAGCATCAAATTTCTTTAACTGACAACTGCGCGGTCATGCAACGCTGTACCCAAATGAAATTTATGTCCTTTTTTTCCTACAAATGCACTTTTCTTTTGGTGGTATTTGATCGCTTCTGCATTTTTCCTTTTTTGCGCTACAAACAAAAAACTATCGACAATTTTGTGAAAAAAAAAAACATTTTTAACTTTTTGCTATAAAATATATCCAGTAAAAAATGTTTAAAAAAATCAAATTTCGTCATAAATTTAGGCCAAAATGTTCTGCTACGTGTCTTTGCTAAAAAAAAAAAATCCCAATATGTGGTAATGGCAGCGATCAACAACTTATAGCGGGACTGCGGGACTGCAGCGGGCATTCTGACACTGGGGGGAACTGACTAACTGCCACTGACATCCCCACATGACACTAATACAGTGATCAGTGCTAATAAAAAGCACTGACACTGTACTAATAGCACTGAGCAGGAAGGGGTTAACATCTGGAGCGATCAAAGGGTTAACTGTGTGCTGTTTTACTGTGTTGTTTGTTGTCTGTGTGTGCTTTACTGTGTAAGCACACTGCTTTGTATTGCTCTGCTATGCGTGTTGGAGCTGACGGGAGAGATCTGTATTGTTTACATACAGACCTCTCCTCTGTCAGTATTCCTCAGCGATCGGCAGGGAATCTCCAGCCGGGACCCGGAGATCGACAGCTGAAGCCGCCAATGGTGGCGAGGGTAGGGTGGCGCATTCATCCCCTACCCAGAAATACAAAATCACGTATATATACGTGATTTTGAGCAGCCCTGCCACCCTGTAGCAGTCATTCTGTTGTGGGCAGTAGGGAAGCCGTTAAAGCCTGTGTGAGGATAGATCAGCCCCATAGTGTTTCAAAACATAATTATAAATAGAAAATGGACAGAATTTCTACCTGAATGTCTGTGTGTTTGTAGGTGCATCTTTTTTTTTTTCTAGTTTAGCATAGATAAAAGAAAGTTGTTTTGTGGTGTCATTGGTCAGGAAGGGGTGGATTTTGGAAATGTTCCGGAGGTTGAGGCGGCAGGATTTAGCCAGTGAGTGGATGTGGAGACCAAAGGAGAGGTCAGAGTCTAGGATTACGCCTAGCACCCTGGCATGAAGGGAAGGACCAATGGTTGTGCTGTTGATCTTAATGGTAAAGTCATGAGTGGGGGATCGGGGAGGAGGAAATATTACAAGCTCGGTTTTGGAACGATTAAGTTTAAGGGAGTGGTGTGACATCCATACTGATATGTCGCTTAGTAGAATTGCGATACATGAGGGGATTGAGGGGGTGAGCTGGGGAGTGGAGAGATAGATTTGGGTGTTGTCAGCATAGAGCTGGTATTGGAAGTCATGGGAGGTTATCAACTGGCCCAGGGAGGAGGTGTAGAGAGAGAAAAGGAGGGGCCCAAGGACGGAGCCTTGGGGTACACAAACAGAAAGAGGAAGAGGAGCAGAGGAGTTGTTGTTGTGACGCAGAAAGTTTGTTGAGAAAGGTAAGAGGAGAACCAGGAGAGAGCAGAGTCATGGAGGCCAATGGAGTGGAGTTTAATGAGGAGGAGCGGGTGGTCAACTGTGTCAAAGGCAGCAGAAAGGTGTAGGAGTTTGAGTATGGAGTAATGGTCATTGGTTTTCGCAGTTAGTAGGTTGTTAGTGAGTTTAAGTGGGGCAGTTTCAATGGAATGTTGTGGGCAGAAGCTAGACTATAGAGAATTGAGAAGGTTGTTGTCGGTGAGGTAGCAATTCATACGCTTGTGAACAAGGTGCTGGAGAAGCTTGGAGGCAAACGAGAGCAGGGTGATGGGTCTTAAGCAGGGGCGGACTGAGCATTTGGAAACTCGGGCACTGCTCGAGGGCCCGGGGTCAGTAGGGGGCCCCATGAGATGCCCCTGGTACCTTTTTCATAGGCTTTTTTGAGTTTGGGCAAGAACACAGGGGCCCCATGATCCCCTATTGCCCGGGGGCCCCGTGAGTTGTCAGTCCACCCCTGGTCTTAAGTTATTCAAACAGACGGGGTCCAGCGAGGGTTATTAAAGTATGGGGGTAACCCGTGCATGTTTGAGCAGGGAGGGAAATACCGGGGTTATGGCTGCAGCTAGATGCCATAACCCCAGTATAAAATTTTCGCCTTAGGTGCAGGGCATTCCAATACCAGTGATCCGAATGGCTGATTAGCTGCTGGATCACTTTTAGAAGCAGCGTTTCCCCCCCCCCCCAGCCACTTTCCCCCCTCCGCACTTTCCAGTGGTTCTCAGGCTTACCTGCCTGATCAGTGAACCCAGGAACCGATCTAGAGCTGGCAACAGCTGGTCAGAGAGATAAGCAGAGGAAAGATAGCCTTTGCTCGTTTCTATGGTTTAGGAGAACCATGACGTCACTTCTGGTTGCAGCTGAATGTAAACAAGACCATTTTTTGTTTAGGAAAGCACTGGATCAGTGTTTTTTTTTATCTAATGCTTTCCATTGTAGAGGAGAGTTGTGGGGTCTTATGAACCCCAGACCTCTCCATGAAGAGGGCGGGTCATGCTCTATTGTTAATGCAAGGGATATTTACAATTCTTGCAAAAGAAATAAAAGTTATAAAAATTTTTTTTGAATACACAGTGTAAAAATAAAAAAAAGTAATAACATTTTTTTTAAAGCTCACCATCCCCCTGTGCTAACGCGGAATGTGAACACAGACATTGGTCCCGCCCACATAGGTAAAACGTGTTCATACCACACATGTGAGGTATCACTGCGAACGGCAGAGAGAGAATAATAATTCTATTACTAGACCTCCTCTGTAACTCTAAATTGGCTACCTGTAAAAATCTTTAAAGAGCTGCCTATGGAGATTTTTAAGTACCATAGATTGGCACCATTCTATGAATGCACAATTTTAAAGTATGACGTGTTAGGTATCTATTTACCCAGTGTAACATCATCTTTCATATTCTACAAAAAACTTTGGTTATATATTGTGTTTTTGTTTTTTTTAAACACATTAAAGTGTATTTGTTTTTTAAATTGCGTTTGAAAAACCGCTGTGCAAATACCATGTGAGATAAAAAATGGCAAAGACAGACATTTTATTCTCTAGTACCTCTAACAAAATTAATAATATGTTTGGGGGCTCTAAGTAATTTCCTATCAAAAAACGCTGATTTTTACTTGTAAACAAGAAGTTTTAGAATAGGCCTGGTCCTTAAGTGGATAGAGAGGGTGAATCTACCCAGTAGGGAAACAGAACACAAACTTATAATGTAGTAAATGTATAACCTTTCCCCACTCTGTCAGCAATAAAATAAAAAATTTTGGCTTTGCATACACATTTAACATTCATGTAAGCCTGCACATGACAGTTTACAGTCTCAAAAGTTGCTCTACAGATGATAGACCCAAATAAGGGCAGCATAGTGAACACCTAAACTACAATGTCAGCGTACAGTCACACTGACCACAAGGACTTGTCCCAATCAATGGTGGGAGAGTTAACATAGCTGGAACACAGGAAAGCTGTATATCTCTTGTTTTTGGACAGCTACAGCTTCTGCCATGTATCCATGCTGGAATTTGTATTTTTCCATAGCTGAAGAGACTTTTACATGAAAAAATATTAGTCTAAACTGAGAGCACAAAGCCATAACTGATCATTGCATGCTTCCTCCCTCATTACTTTTGGAAAAATGCATAACTGGTTTAACTTAATAGATCATTAACAGCAGTATTACAAAATCTGTGATATCCTTTGTAATGATTAATGTTGGTGTTAATTGTCACACTTTAGCTGTGATAGAGCATTTTTTTAGAAGAATCTGAGAAAAGAAGATTGGAGTTCCATGATGCATCAAAAGACAAAGAGAGACTCCTCTACATCCTGTGATGGAAAAATGGAACATGGGACACAGAAATTACATCTCAAACGTGAACTTGGTATTGTTAGTGCTGTGTCTATGCTAGCTGGCACCATGATTGGATCTGGTATCTTCATGTCTCCTCAGTGGGTCCTCTATTACATGGGCAGCCCTGGAGCCAGCCTGTTAATATGGGCAGCCTGTGGCATTCTATCGATGTTAGGTGCCCTTTCCTATGCTGAACTTGGTACTGTCATTAAGGAGTCTGGAGGTGAATACATTTATATTTTACGGAATGTTGGCATCTTACCAGCCTTCCTTCTGGCATATACATCAGTCTTTGTGGTAAGACCTGCCAGCATAGCTGCTATCTCAATCGGTTTTTCAGAATATGTGGTGGCGGCTTTCTTCCAGGACTGCCCACTGCCTCAGGTAGTGGTGAAGTGCACAGCGGCTGCCTGTATCCTCGTCCTGAGCGTCATCAACTGCCTCAATGTCAGGCTTGCTGCTTCTTTGATGAACTTCTTCACAGCTGCCAAATTGATTGTCTTGCTGGTTATAACTGTGGGTGGTATGGTTCTCTTGGTCAAAGGAAACACTCATGTGTTCCAGAATGCCTTTGAAAACACAGCTGTAGGTTTTGGACCCATTGGAGTGGCTTTTTATCAAGGACTCTGGTCTTATGATGGATGGAACAATCTGAACCCTGTGATAGAAGAACTGAAAAACCCAGAGGTTAGTTAATGCACCAAACACAATCAATAAATAGTACATAATTGCTAGGAAACTCGCATTTGCAGGAATTCTCTGGGTTTTTGTGAATGAAGGCCATGACTGCATCCAAATGTAAGTGAAACATAATTCATATTGAGTGAGCAGTTTCCCAAAACTATCTTCAAATCCTATCAATGTATATTATGGATATCAACAAAGATAGTGAGCTGGCTTTCATGAAACACAGACAGTCTTAAAGGAATAGGGAGTGGACCTTACCATTAGACTGGAGGTTCTTCCACCAATACCAGATTTCATTTGTTTGAAAGAATGCTGTGTGATTGCTACATATTTATCAGCTTGTTATCCAGTTTTCATAAATACATTTGCACTTCAACAATAAAAAAGGCATAATATGTAAAAATATATTTAAGAAATCTCTTTTTTTTTCAAACTGCAAAATAAATTGTCTATTTGAAATAATGTAAATGTCAAATGTGAATATTTCATACTTACCCCTTTAACCTTTTCAGCCAGTAGATGATAGAAGTAAGGTCCTCAGGTTTCTATAGAAAATCTTACAGATATGCTGTAAAATATATACTGTAAGGAAGAGCAATGGGGGTTAGGTTACATACAGTAGATTGCTATGTAGTTTAGAGGAGGGATGCACACTTTCTTTTCACCTTAATATGGCTTGGGTGGCTTGGTTAGTTATACCCAGGCTGTCAACAAGCAAGCAGGCACCTGTAGAGCTCAGAATGCTTTGTAAAACATGTGTAATTTATACAAGCTGTATTTAATTTCATTTCTAAATTTATAAAGTTTAGGTTTATTTCTAAATTAAAGATTTTCTACAAATAATTCTAAATGTTATGTCAAAACTAGAGATGAGCGAATCGAACTTGGCGAAGTGTAATTCGTTTTGAATATTAGGAAAAATTCGATTCGCACTGAATCCGAAAATTAGCAAACTTCGGATGCACGAATCGAATTTTTCCCGATCGGCCGATTTTCATCCCTTCTACAGCCGGCAAAAAGTGTCCCTGCAGAGAGCTCCGCTATTTCTGACAGTTCTCTGACAGTTTCTTCACATTTACAGCGGTTGAAACATTGTATCTATTTGTTTCCATTTAGGATACAGATGTTTTTATTCGGAAACAAATAGATACAATGTTTCAACCGCTGTAAAAGGAACTGTCAGAGAACTGTCAGAAATAGCGGAGCTCTCTGCAGATACACTTTTTGCTGTACTGGAATTCTTCTTCTTTTCATTCTTCTTCTTCTTCTTCTTATTTTCATTCTCCTTCTTCTTCTTCTTATTTTCATTCTTCTTCTCCTTCTTCTTCTCCTTCTTCTTTTCATTCTTCTTCTCCTTCTTCTTTTCATTCTTCTTCTCCTTCTTCTTCTTTTCATTCTTCTTATTTTCATTCTTCTTCTTCTTCTTCTTATTTTCATTCTTCTTCTTCTTCTTCTTCTTCTTCTTATTTTCATTCTTCTTCTTCTTCTTTTCATTCTTCTTCTCCTTCTTCTTTTCATTCTTCTTCTCCTTCTTCTTTTCATTCTTCTTCTCCTTCTTCTTTTCATTCTTCTTCTCCTTCTACTTTTCATTCTTCTTCTTCTTCTTATTTTCATTCTTCTTCTTCTTCTTCTTCTTATTTTTCATTTTCTTCTTCTTCTTCTTATTTTCCTTCTTCTTCTTCTTATTTTCCTTCTTCTTCTTCTTCTTATTTTCTTCTTCTTCTTCTTCTTATTTTCCTTCTTCTTCTTCTTCTTATTTTCCTTCTTCTTCTTCTTCTTCTTCTTCTTCTTTATTATTATTTTTTCCTTCTTCTTCTTCTTCTTCTTATTTTCCTTCTTCTTCTTCTTCTTCTTATTTTCCTTCTTCTTCTTCTTATTTTCCTTCTTCTTCTTCTTCTTATTTTCCTTCTTCTTCTTTTTCTTCTTCTTCTTATTTTCCTTCTTCTTCTTCTTCTTATTTCCTTCTTCTTATTTTCCTTCTTCTTCTTCTTATTTTCCTTCTTCTTCTTCTTCTTCTTATTTTCCTTCTTCTTCTTCTTCTTATTTTCCTTTTTCTTCTTCTTCTTCTTCTTCTTCTTCTTATTTTTCTTCTTCTTCTTCTTCTTATTTTCCTTCTTCTTCTTCTTCTTATTTTTCTTCTTCTTCTTCTTCTTCTTATTTTCCTTCTTCTTCTTCTTATTTTCCTACTTCTTCATCTTCTTCTTCTTCTTATTTTCCTTCTTCTTCTTCTTCTTCTTCATCCTCATCTTCTTCTTCTTCTTCATCCTCATCTTCTTCTTCTTCTTCTTCTTCTTTTTTTCTTCTTCATCTTCTTCTTCTTCTTCATCATCTTCTTCTTCATCATCTTCTTCTTCATCATCTCTTCTTCTTCATTCTCATCATCTTCTTCATCATCTTCTTCTTCTTCTTCATCTTCTTCTTCATCTTCTTCTTCTTCTTCTTATTTTCCTTCTTCTTCTTCTTCTTCTTCTTATTTTCCTTCTTCTTCTTCTTATTTTCCTTCCTTCTTCTTCTTCTTCTTCTTCTTCTTATTTTCCTTCTTCTTCTTCTTCTTATTTTCCTTCTTCTTCTTCTTTCTTCTTCTTATTTTCCTTCTTCTTCTTCTTCTTCTTCTTATTTTCCTTCTTCTTCTTCTTCTTTCTTCTTCTTCTTTTTCCTTCTTCTTCTTCTTCTTCTTCTTATTTTTCTTCTTCTTCTTCTTCTTATTTTCCTTCTTTTTCTTCTTATTTTCCTTCTTCTTCTTCTTATTTTCCTTCTTCTTCTTCTTCTTCTTCTTATTTTCCTTCTTCTTCTTCTTCTTTTCCTTCTTCTTCATCTTCTTCTTCTTCTTCTTCTTATTTTCCTTCTTCTTCTTCTTCTTCTTCATCCTCATCTTCTTCTTCTTCTTCTTCTTTTTCTTCTTCTTCTTCTTCATCCTCATCTTCTTCTTCTTCTTCTTCTTCTTCATCTTCTTCTTCTTCTTCTTCTTCATCTTCTTCTTCTTCATCATCTTCTTCTTCATCATCTTCTTCATCATCATCTTCTTCATCATCTTCTTCTTCATCTTCTTCTTCTTCATCTTCTTCCTCTTCTTCATCTTCTTCTTCATCTTCTTCATCTACTTCTTCTTCTTCTTCATCTTCTTCTTCATCTTCTTCTTCATCTTCTTCTTCTTCTTCATCTTCTTCTTTCTTCTTCTTCTTTCTTCATCTTCTTCTTCATCTTCTTCTTCATCTTCTTCTTCTTCATCATCTTCTTCTTCTTCTTCTTCATCTTCTTCTTCTTCTTCTTCATCTTCTTCTTCATCTTCTTCGTTGTGCCCCGTGACTGCCCAAATGAGTGAAGTGTGCGGTGATTCTAAGATCGACGGCACTCATCTGCATGTCATACTGACTGACAGTATTATTTCTCTTCCCCAGCAGACTCCAAGGGCATTTAAATTAAAGGTACAGTGTTCTGCACTAATATAAAGGCTCTCTGAAGCCTAGAAACCCTTTTAATAAGTTAAATTCGCAGCGAATAAATTTGCATCGAATCAAATTTATTCCGCAAATTCAGCGAATCAGCCGAATCGAATTTTTGAATAATTCGCTCATCTCTAGTCAAAACCTCTAAATGTTGAAAACAAATTGAAAACAATTAAAAAAAAAATAAAGAAAGCCACTTGGGGAATTTATGAAAACTGGAGCAGAGGGAAATATGGATCTACTTAAATCAATGTTATACAAATAGAAAACTTTAGCCAGCAGATGTACGAAAAAAAAAAAAAGCTTGTTAGATTGAAATTTGTAAGGCCTGTATCAAGTGCCATTTAATAAATTTAGAAGAAAGTTTTCCACAGTCTGGTTGCTTCGTAAATCCTTCATTTTAGGTACTTATCTGCCAGCAAGATAAACCAGACCAGCTATAGGGGATGGATCCACCTGGAGGAGAATGTTTGATGCTTAACCTCCCTGGCGGTATGATTATTTCTGATTTTTTGTGCTGAAAGCGGTACCATTTTTTTGCATGGAAATATGTAGTTTTTTATTGTAGGCTGTAATTTTTAGGAATAACTCACTGAAATCTGTCCGAACAAGAGTCTAGTAAACATTCCGCATATGATAAAACTTGAAACACGAAATCATAAATTATAATTTAATTAATAATCATAAAAAATAATAATATAATAATAAATTTAATTCAATAATATAATCAAACCAAAAACACTGAAATTTGAAATACAGAGGCAAATTCGCACATCGCTGAGCAAAGTCGCAAAATCGTTTTCAGTGTCTGATGACGAATTTCCCCCACAAATCATTATCACTCAATTCTGCAAGTGGTTATGATTTACTATCGCTGTTCTCTAGTTGGTCTAAAACCGCTTTTGACATAAAGGGACGCTTTTTGGACGCCATGGACTTTTCTAAGTTTCCAGGCAGAAAGAACAGTCAAAATGTAGGCAGGGCACAGGACAAAGCACTCGGGACAAAATGTATGTGAAATGGTTTGAAACAGCAATGTTTTACTATATAATAATAATTTTTTTAAAAAATGACATTTTTTAAAAATTTCAAATTTGCCGCCGGTTCCGGTGCCCGTACATCCCGACGTCACAGGGACCGGAACACGGAAGTCGGATGCCGGCATCGGCCGGAGGAGATGGCCGGGGACGCTGCAGGGGACACATCGCGGGAGCGAAGGACAAGGTAAGCGCTGCAGGGAATCTCTGAGCAACGCCGCATGGTAAACCCGAGTGTAGCTCGGGGTTACCGCTCTTGGTACTGAAATTTTACCCTGAGCTACACTCGGGAATACCGCCAGGGAGGTTAATTGTAAAAGAATGTTGTGAGATGTTCTGAATGCCTTCAGTTAAAGTGCATGAAAACTCTGCTGGTGCTTGGATTTGCAATGCTGAATTACTACTTCTGCTAGCTACAGGTCATGTGACCTAACATGTGGGTTACAGCTCATGCGATTTGAACCTGAACGGTACATGAGATGTTTTTTGCAGCTGATTGGTAGAATGTTGTATACTGTATTGCCCCTACCCCACCTCCCTAATGACTACTGACTGAATAAATTGGGCTTACCATGACTTTCTAGGTCTGCTGTATTACTAATAATATTGCCAGTAGAATATGATGATTTTTTAAATTACTATTGCTTGTGTTTTAGGTGAATCTCCCGCGAGCTGTGATGATCGCAGTTCCCCTAGTAACGTGCATCTATCTCCTGGTCAATGTCAGCTATTTCACAGTGATGACTCCACAGGAATTTCTATCTTCAGATGCCGTGGCCATCAGCTGGGGGTCAGTTTGTCTGTTAGATTCACAATTATTACAATTCTGTTTGTCTGGGACTAAAGCTAGTTCACTCCTATTACTCATATCACACATGCTCACCTATTTTTCCAATAGTTTTCTTATTTTAAGCACTTTTTCATTAAAAATGCTCTATCCTTATTTAGTGAGGAGTTGATTGATATACTTAAAAACAACATTCAACTCAGACTGGGGGGACGTATAGAAAACAAATCTTCACTACGGCTTCTTTTGATCGACAAGGTAAACTATCTGCTCAGTGAGTGCAGCAGTAGAAGGATATTTTGGACCCTGACAAAGTTAATTCTGGGAGCCCACGTTGAATCTTGGAACTTACATTGCCCCAGCTTGCTGACACCTGGTCAACTAGTGAGTGACATCCAACAGGGATCCTTCTTTTATTGACTGACAGGGGTACAGGGGATTATTGGGTGAGATTGGACAACCCATGCACTGTAATTATAATTCTAGTGCTTGCCCCCGAAGAAGACGCTGGTGATGATGGGTCCTCTGTTCTGCCATGACTTATAACCGCTCAGTTCCCACGGACACACTCGGTTAGAGGTGGAGAACCACTCACATCTGATTAACTTAAAAGATAAGTTCACCTTTTAGAAAAAAATTATAAATGTGCATTTTTTTGCAGGTAAAAAAAGTGCATTTATTATTTTTGCCTACAGGAGCCTGGAAAGCATTGCACCTGTGATCAGTAGATTGCTGATGCCATGCAGGTCTTCTGCAGACTTGTCAGAATATCTGCTTGCCATACGGGATGTACAAGCAAGCAGATATTCTGACAGGAAGCTTCAATTAACTACAATGGCGCTCCACAGCACAGGTAGTTCATTGAGAACTACAAGCCGACAGTCGCTAAGGCTGCCAGGACTTGGAGGCACTCATTCATAGAACTCTGTGAATGAGTAATGCGGCCATGTGGGCGGAGCCCTGCACAGCCACACTGTTCCCAAATTTGACAGATAGTATGGAGAGACTTCTCCCCATACTATCTATCAGAGGAAGGGTGGGCAGCGGGCGGGGGCTGTGGGTATGGGAATATGTTACATGTTCCCAAAGGTGAACTTATCCTTTAAGAGTTAGAAAGTCACAGGTGTATAATAATGCAAGGAAATACGGCCAAAGACTGCCAGATGATAAGTTAAGTGTATTATATCAAAGCAAGACATGGCATCAAGCAATAAACAATTCAAATTCGCAAAACTAATAAAGTGAAACCTAGCCTACCACAGGAGCAAATGCCTAAACTACATCAATGCTGGTCCAAACTTTATTGGAGAATAACTATTAATGAGTAAAATCACACCCAAATAACTCAATTATAATGTTCTTGAGTGCACACTGTAGGAATACCCCAAATACATGCATCCCTAAGTGTTCCTAAGCAGGGCACCCCTATACAATGGAAGCAAACACCTAGCACCTTAAAGTGGTAGTAAACTCTGTTCTTTACAAATCAGCGGGTAATGCGATCTGTGCAGCTCAGATCGCATTTGCGGCCCACTCTGCGTGCTGCTGCAGTGTGTCTCCCATGTGCATGTGTGGGAGTAATGTCACCGCAGCCTGGCCAATCGAGCTGCCAAAGATTCAGAACTCAGAAGTAGAACCGGGTTAACATGGAGGTGCTCGGGACTTTTTGGGAGCCGTGACATCCCAGGGTTATAGGTCTACATTTGTAGGTAAGTCACTCATAATGTACTATTATGCAGTGCATACTAGTACATTATGGCCTAAACCTGCAGAGGGGCACATTATTTCACTTTCTCATAGATACTTTACTACCGCTTTAAGATTAGTGTTACCCAGCTTTCAGTGGGGCCCTTCTGTTGGTGGCACGCAAGAGTCTGTCTCTTTAAGAGTAGGTGTGTATAGCTGCAGGGCTGCTAAGTAACAAGCAGTCTATGTGAAACTGAGTGTAGCCAGGGGTTAAAGCTGTGTCTCCTCTCACCACTCCTGGAAGGCGGCAGTTCTGGCTTTCACACACATGGCAGTTAGCAGTCCCAGAATCTGGTCCCGGAGGCTCAGACTCTCAACACTGGATCACACACTTGTAATATCTGGCAGCTATGGCAGCCTCAGCAGCAAGTCTGTCCTCCCTCTGATAAATGCAGTCAGGCTCAAGTAGCAAGTTCCCTCTGTGTGACTCTCTCTCTTAGAATCGGCTGTGGGATGTCCTGCTGCAGGTCCTCTCAACACGACTTCCCTCTACAAAAGTTCCTCAGTATGTCTCTTTTGCCCAAACTGAAGCCCTGTCTCTCCTGCTTGGTGTGAAGAAGCAGAAGCAGAAAACACATTACCTGCAAAGAGAGAAAAAAAGCAGGGGCTGCCTTACTTCAGTCACTGTGCAGCGAGGTCTGCACATACACACTCACGGCTGCACAGTCATCCTGCTCCTGTCACTACACACACATACAGTGCCTTAAAAAAGTATTCATACCCCTTGAGATTTTCCACATTTTGTCACGTTACAGCCAAAAACGTAAATGTATTTTATTGGGATTGGATGTGACCAACACAAAGTGGCACATAATTGTGAAGTGGAAGGAAAATGATAAATGATAAATTTCAAGATTTTTCAAAAAGTGTGGCGTGCATTTGTATTCAGCCCCCCTGAATCAATACTTTGTAGAAACCACTTTCGCTGCAATTACAGCTGCAAATCTTTTTGGGAATGTCTCTACCAGCTTTGCACATCTAGAAAGTGAAATGTTTGCCCATTCTTCTTTGCAAAATAGCTAAAAAATGTCAGATTGGATAGAGGGCATCTGTGAACAGCAATTGTCAAGTCTTGCCACAGATTCTCAATTGGATTTAGGTCTGGACTTTGACTGGGCCATTCTAACACATGAAGATGCTTTGATCTAAACCATTCCATTGTAGCTCTGGCTGTATGTTTAGGGTCATTGTTCTGCTGGAAGGTGAACCTCCACCCCAGTCTCAAGTCTTATGCAGACTCTAACAGGTTTTTTTCTAAGATTACCCTGTATTTGGCTCCATCCATCTTCCCATCATCTCTGACCAGCTTCCCTGTCCCTGCTGAAGAAAAGCATCCCCACAACATGATGCGGCCACCACCATGTTTCACGGTGGGTGTGGTGTGTTGTTCGGGTGATGTGCAGTGTTAGTTTTCTACCACACATAGCATTTTGCTTTTAGGCCAAAAAGTTAAATTTTGGTCTCATCTGACCAGAGCACCTTCTTCCACATGTTTGCTGTGTCCCCCACATGGCTTCTTGCAAACTGCAAACGGGACTTTCTTTCAACAATGGCTTTCTTCTTGCCACTCTTCCATAAAGGCCAGATTTGTGGACTGCATGAATAATAGTTGCCCTGTGGACAGATTCTCGCACCTGAGCTGTGGATTTCTACAGATCTTCCATGGTTACCATGGGCCTCTTGGCTTCTTCTCTGATTAACGCTCTCCTTGCCTGGCCTGTCAGTTTCGGTGGACAGCCATGTCTTGGTAGGTTTGCAGTTGTGCCATACTCTTTCCATTTTCAGATGATGGATTGAACAGTGCTCCGTGAGATGTTCAAAGCATGGGATATTTTTTATAACCTATCCTTGCTTTAAACTTCTCCACAACTTTATCCCTGACCTGTCTGGTGTGTTCCTTGGCCTTCATAATGCTGTTTTTTCACTAATGTTCTCTAGCAAACCTCTTAGGGCTTCACAGAACAGCTGTATTTATACTGAGATTAACTAACAAACAGGTGGACTCTATTTACTAATTAGGTGACATCTGAAGGCAATTGGTTCCACTAGATTTTAGTTAGGGGTTTTAGAGTAAAGGGGGCTGAATACAAATGCACGCCACACTTTTCAGATATTTTTTTTTATTTTATTTTGAAAAACATTTATCATTTTCCTTCCACTTCACAATTATGTGCCACTTTGTGTTGGTTTATCACATAAAATCCCAATAAAATACATTTACATTTATGGTTGTAACATGACAAAATGTGGAAAATTTCAAGGGGTACTGTATGCTGAGTGTCTTGGCTGCGTACAGCTCCTATGTTTACAATACTCTGGAGGGTAGGTGGGGTGGGTGAAATTGACTGCCTGGCTACATAATAATAAAGAAGTATTATACAGGCTCACACACGTAGATGTATTGGAGCATATGGTGTAAAATGAGCCCATATATTGCCACCCGGGAGCTACAGGTGTGAATTACAGAATACAGCTGTATGTGTGTATATGCAGCTCTGAGCATAAACATGTCTATGTGTACAGACGTACACCCCCGATTGTGGCATGTAGGATTGTAAAATCATAAGACATTGGATTTTAGATCCCATTGGATCTACAAACATTTCCAACTCGTCCAACTGCGGTTTCATTCAACCCAATCCCAAGTAGTTGTGACATCAGCACTGCGGACAAAGCAGATCTCTGGGTGGCACTTACTACAAGCTGCCTGTAGATAACTGCAGGTAGGTGGATACAAAACCAGTCACCTTGCACAAGGAGAGACAGCACCAGTGACCGGTCTTTATTACAGGAAAAAAACACAAAGGCCATAGAGATTCAAGTAGGCATGGAGGAGCTCAGCTATGAGCAAAGAATAGCTGAATGGAATTTATTCTCTCTTGAGAAGAGGTGATTAAGGGGTATAGGATCATCATGTATGAATACATAGGTGGTCCATATAGTAAACTTGGTGTTGAGATATTCACTTTCAGATCATTACAGAGGACAAGGAGGCACTCTTTGTCAGCACCTGTGGTAATGAGCCCTTGTAGATAGTCAACTTGGAGTTCCCCTGGGTGCGGAGTCTAAGCCCCAGCCTGCTTCTCCACCAGAGCCCCTGATGGTGGGGATGGACTTGCAGTAAGCTGGGACCAGGTCACGGCCCCCAGGTATGCCCAGCTGAGGATGAGGAGACTGCTCGCAGGAGCAGAGTACAATGGGAGGAGACAAATGGAAATCCAATAGACTAGCCGAGGTCAGGACGAGAGGAAAATAAGCAGTCAGAGAACAAAGCCGGGGTCAGTACACGAGTAGTCAATGCAGGATACAGGAGATAGCAGCACACAGGAGCTCAGACAACTAGGAAGTTGTTCAGGCAAAGTGGCCTAGACTGAGCATGTCTTATATAGGAAGGCAAACAAGGAGGTGGGCTAGGAAGTGATGGAAGGGAAAGAAATAAAACCCAGAGAACAGCAGAACAGCAGATGTGAACACAGACAAGCACACATGTGAAAGGGAGCAGGAACAGCACTGCAGCAAGGAGGTAAGAATACACAAACAAGAAACTGCAGGATAACTTGTGACACTCTTCATGTCTGGAGGAAAACAGAATTAACGTCCATATAAGAAAAAGCTTCTTCAAAGGAAGAGCTGTGAAAATGTTGAATAGACTCTCAAGAACTAGTTCTGGCCAGAGCTAGATGTATTCCTAATGCAAATACAATAATTGGATATTAACATTAGTAGGTAATAGGGAATATCTGATTGCCTCCTGGGGACCATGCTTATTGCTTTTTTTTTTGCCTTCCTTTGGATCAACTGTGGGTATAGGATTTTGTATATGGAGGTTTTCTATATGGTTATTTTTATTGTTTGCTGTTGGTTGATCTAGATGGACTTGTGTTCTTCTGTTTCAATACATTTTTATTGGATAAATAATACAAAATACAATTCACGGCAGGATTTTGCAGCCATTTTTCTAGAAGGGTTTACTTTCTGCATAGCAGCTTGGTATACAAAAACACTGCAAAAACACTGAATATTTGAGGTTAATCAATCAAGGATAGATTTTGCTTTCATGTTGTAGAGCTACTCCCACAAGGGCTGCTAATTTGTACTGGTTCCTCCCTAAACAGTACAGAGGCCCCCAGCTATCAAGCAACAGTCCATTCACTCCAGCTCCAATAAACAGTTTAGGGGTTGTCATTTTTTTTAATAATTGCTTGTAAAACTTGAAACATTAGATGGGGACTTGGCAAGGGATACTCCAAAATTCTCAGCAGTAGTAACTGATCAGAGTAAGTGATCAGAGGACAGTCTTTCTAGTAGTAGTAGTGGTGGCTAAATAGTGAACAGTCCAAGGCTCCACAGCTGAAGACCATGGGGTAAATTTTTGGACATCTGATTACCCTGCGCCAGTGCACAACTATTGGTACCCAGTTCAGTTACTCATGCATCCTTCCAGCTTCCTCCAGACACAAACCATTTATTGAGATCAGGACCAGATCCCTTGTTCTGTGGTTCTCTAATCAGCTCTGAGCAAAGTCCATTTGAGCCTCTGATTTTAGCCCCTCTAAAGCCTCCTAGAGCAGCTGTTCAGTCCAAGGACTTCCTGACAGTAACAGTTCCTGCACCTCTGGAATCCTTCTGGGGAAGGAACCCTTCTCTCCAGTGTCTCAGACTATTCAGACTATTTATCTACACTCCAAAACCCAATACATTTCAAGCTGGCCAATTTGAAGAATCTCCCACCCTAAGCTTTGGAAGCTTCTTTCAGAGGGAGCGGGAAGCAATCAAACTCCCAGCCTGTAAGACCCTGAACAGGTCAGACAAAACAATTGCTGCTTCCTTGATTACAGGAACCAAAGCTAAATTTGCCTAGCCACCTACGCTACGAGGGTGTTACATCCGATATATAGTATGTAACTCAGTGGAGTAAAATGGCGATAGAGTACGTATTTCCAAACTAGTATTCTGATGCTGCCATGAAGAACTTTTTTTTTAACAACCTATTTAAGTATGAATTCACAAAGGTGTTATATTTGGCTCTTGAATTTAAACATTTTTAGCCTGAATTTCAGCTTTAATGATAGTTTGTTCATCAATACTCATTGTGTGAAATGATGTCAGGAACTCACTTCAGGATGCAGAGAGTTGTTGTTGTTTTTTTTTTTTTACTAAATGCAAATAGGAGGCTCATTTAGCAAAGGAAGTTACACTTTGCAAATTTGCTTGCACATGATTGGATGATGGAACTCAGCAGAGCTTCATTAAAAGTTCTGGGGGAAATTTCCTGCAATGTGCAACTTTCCTTGTAAAGTGAAGGAGGCACAGGAGCATGTATATTTTGCTGCCTCCTGCCATTTAAAAATGAATCTGCTTTCTTGGTGTTAATGTCAGTTATTTTGCATTGCAGCCTGAAGGTTCTCGGAAGTTGGACTTGGTTAATATCTCTAGGTGCGGCACTTTCTACTTTCGGCTCAGTAAATGGAATTTTCTTCACTGGAGGGCGCGTGTGCTATGTGGCAGCTAGAGAGGGTCACTTGGTAGGCATTCTTTTTTTATGATTATTATTAAGCAATATTTTTAAAATCCTCTTATTTTATATAATCATTATGAATAATCTCACTTACAGCCAAATATTCTCTCGATGGTTCATGTTAAACGGCTCACACCATCCCCTGCCCTCATCCTAACATCTGCCATCTCGTTATCAATGATCATTCCTTCCGATTTCAGCACTCTTGTAAACTTCACCAGGTAGGTGAACTCATTTTGTCTTCAGAATCCCTTTCGTCTCTTAGATGTTCATTTTCCAGGCACTTATCCTTGTTCACAAATATATGCTGTACCTATGAAAAGAGAGTGGTGTCAAACTGGCTCTGGGTGACCCCCTAGGAGAACAATATGAATGTGTCAGATGATGTCAAGAACCCTAATTGGCACAAGGTGCCATGCAAATTAAGGCAAACTTGCAAAATAGCCGATCTTTTGTAGCTCAGTACACCTTCTAGGGGCATCAGGGGCTGCCATGGTGTTTAAAGGGAAACAATAGTGCATTTCAGTTGGTATATTTTTTACTTAACATCACAGTCTTTACCTTGAGGTAATTTTTATATGACTTTTATACATTGATATGCTTTTTTCTTCCATAGTTTTACAACAAAAGCACATTTTGATTTAATTTTCATAAAGCAAACCAATAGTCTTCCTCAGCATGCACCACTGCCATGAACCTCCTAGTGGGTGCCAGAAGGGACATAAATTCTCAATAGCCCAATATTGTCACCACCCCCATTGCTATTGCCCAGAGTGCCAGTGACCCCAGTGACTGTAGTAGAGAATTGCAGCAATCCTACACCTCGGGGAGAAAGCAAGTGGAAGGAAAGTGCAAACCAATTTTAGGACACACAGGATACCCCTACAATTTAGTAAGTCATGCAAAAATCTTCCCCTTGTTATTGCTATCTTTATGACACATGGCAGAAAAAAACACTGTGTTTAGATGCGCACTTGTGCAAATCTAACCGCAGTACTATAGCAATCAATGAGGCCAAACACACAGCTGCGCGTACATGTGAAAATGTATGCTGTGTTTGTCTAAGTAAATAAAAAAAGTAAGACACCTCTGCATCCAGGGCCACACAGATCTGCAGATTTTATGTGTGAACATGCATAAATGCGCCCTAAACGAACATAAATGTACCTAAACGCATATGCGGGAAAATGTGTATCCATTCATTTGAATAAAGTAATTGTACGCGTCTGAATACTGTACACATCTAAACTCGTCTAAACAAAAGTACTTTGCATGCAAATTTTCTGCAGGATCTTCAGCCAGCTCTGCCAGCAACCCACATGGAAGAAAAATATATTTGAAATATATTTTAAAAATATTCTTCCCAAATATATTGACATATATTTGAAATACTGCAATGTTGGCCATATTCAATATATTTCAATATATATATATATATATATATATATATAGTCATGGCCGAAATTGTTGGCACCCTTGATATTTTTCCTGAAAATCAAGTATTTCACACAAAAAAGGTATTGCATTAACACATGTTTTGCTATACACATGTTTATTCCCTTTGTATGTATTGGAACAAATATAAAACAGAGGCAAAAAGCAAATATGACATAATGTCACACAAAAAACCCCAAAAATGGGCTGGACAAAAGTATTGGCACCCTTAAAACTTAATATTTGGTTGCACACCCTTTGGAAAACATAACTGAAATCAGTCGCTTCCTATAACCATCAATAAGCTTTCTGACACCTCTCACCCGGAATTTTGGACCACTCTTCCTTTGCAAACAGCTCCAGGTCTCTCTTATTGGAAGGACACCTTTTCCCAACAGCAATTTTAAGATCTCTCCACAGGTGTTCAATGGGATTTAGATCTGGGCTCATTGCTGGCCACTTCAGAACTCTCCAGCGCTTCTTTGCCATCCATTTCTGAGTGCTTTTTGACGTATGTTTGGGGTCATTGTCCTGCTGGAAGACCCAGGATCTTGGACGCAAACCCAGCTTTCTGACACTGGGCCCTACAGTGCGACCCAAAATCCTTTGGTAATCCTCAGATTTCATGATGCCTTGCACACAGTCAAGGCACCCAGTGCCAGAGGCAGCAAAACAACCCCAAAACATCATTGAACCTCCACCATATTTTACCGTAGGTACTGTGTTTTGTTCTTTGTAGGCCTCATTCCGTTTTCGGTAAACAGTAGAATGATGTGCTTTACCGAAAAGCTCTATCTTGGTCTCATCTGTCCACAAGACGTTTTCCCAGAAGGCTTTTGGCTTACTCAAGTACATTTTGGCAAACTGTAGTCTTGCTTTTTTATGTCTCTGTGTCAGCAGTGGGGTCCTCCTGGTCTCCTGCCATAGCGTTTCATTTCATTTAAATGTCGACGGATAGTTCGCGCTGACACTGATGCTCCCTGAGCCTGCAGGACAGCTTGAATGTCTTTGGAACATGTTTGGGGCTGCTTATCCACCATCCGGACTATTCTGCGTTGCAATCTTTCATCAATTTTCCTCATCCGTCCACGACCAGGGAGATTAGCTACAGTGCCATGGGTTGCAAACTTCTTGATAATGTTGCGCACTGTGGACAAAGGCAAATCTAGTTCTCTGGAGATGGACTTGTAACCTTGAGATTGTTGATATTTTGCCACAATTTTGGTTCTCAGGTCCTCAGACAGTTCTCGTCTCCTCTTTCTGTTGTCCATGCTTAGTGTGGCACAGACAGACACACAATGCAAAGGTTAAGTGAAACTTTTGCACGTCTCTCCTTTTTATCTGCTTTCAGGTGTGATTTCTATATTGCCCACACCTGTTACTTGCCCCAGGTGAGTTTACAGGAGCATCACATGCTTGTAACATTCTTATTTATCCGCAGTTGTGAAAGGGTGCCAATACTTTTGTCCAGCCCATTTTTGGAGGTTTGTGTGACATTATGTCGAATTTGCTTTCTTTCCTCCCTTTTTTTGTTTTGTCCCAATACACACAAAGGGAATAAACATGTGTATAGCAAAACATGTGTTAATGCAATACGTTTCGTGAGAAATACATGATTTCCTGGAGAAATATCAAGGGTGCCAACAATTTCGGCCATGACTGTATATATATATATATATATATATATATAATATATTATGCTGAAATGCGTTTTTATTACAAAATATATGAAAAATATTTTTAAAAATACATTTTCAAATATACTGTATGTCTTTAAAAATACAAATCCACATTTTTGGAATGCATTTACAAATATATGTAAAAATATATGTTAAAATGACTTTTATATATTAAAAAAAATCTAAAGAATATTTTTAAAAATATATTTTTTTAAACATATTCAGATTTTTTTTAACATACAAAAAAGTCTTTTTAACATATATTTTACATATATTTGGAAATGCGTTCCAAAAAGGTAGATTTGTATTTTTAAAGACATACAGTATATTTGAAAATGTAGTTTTAAAAATATTTTTCATATATTTTGTAATAAAAACGCATTTCAGCATAATATATATATATATATATATATATATATATATATATATATATATATATATATATTTCCTCTTGTCAAGCCGCTCCTGAACAACAAACAACATCAGAAGCGTCTTACCTGGGCTAAAGAAAAACAGACCTGGTCTGTTGCTCAGTGGTCCAAAGTCCTCTTTTCTGATGAGAGCAACTTTTGCTTCTCATTTGGAAACCAAGGATCCAGAGTATGGAGGAAGAATGGAGAGGCACACACTGCAAGATGCTTGAAGTCCAGTGTGAGGTTTCCACAGTCTGTGTTGATTTGGGGAGCCATGTCATCTGCTGGTGTTGGTCCACACTGTGCTTCATTAAGTCCAGGGTCAACGCAGCCGTCTACCAGGAGGATTCCTTCCTCAGATGAGCTTTATGGGGATGCTAACTTCATTTTCCAGCAGGACTTGGCACCTGCCCACACTGCCAAAAGCACCAAAACCTGGTTCAATGACCGTGGGATTACTGTGCTTGATTGGCCAGCAAACTCGCCTGACCTGAACCCCATAGAGAATCTATGGGGAATTGTCAAAAGAAAGATGAGAGACATGAGACCGAACAATGCAGAAGAGCTGAAGGCCACTATTGAAGCATCCTGATCTTCCATAACACCTCAGCAGTGCCACAGGCTGATAGCTTCCATGCCACGCCGCATTGAGGCAGTAATTGCTGCAAAAGGGGCCCAAACCAAGTACTGAGTACATATGCATGTTTATACTTTTCCGAGGTCCGATATTGTTCTTTTACAATCCTTGTTTTATTGATTGCATGTATACTCTAATTTTCTGAGATTGTGGATTTGGGGTTTTCATGAGCTGTAAGCCATAATCATCACAATTATGACAAATCACGGCTTGAACTATCTTGCTTTGCATGTAATGAGTCTATCTCATACATTAGTTTCACCTTTTAAGTTGCATTACTGAAATAAATGAACTTTTGCATGATATTCTAATTTTTCGAGTTTCACCTGTATATATTTATTTATTTTATTTCAGGTACTTGTATAGCGTCGTCAATTCACGCAGCGCTTTACATACATATATTGTGCATGCACATCAATCCCTAACTCTCAAGGGGTGTACAATCTAAGGTCCCTAACTCACATTCATACATACACATACTAGGGACAATTTAGACTGGAGCCAATTAACCTACCAGCATGTCTTTGGAGGTGGGAGGAAACCCACACAGGCACAGGGAGAACATGCAAACTCCAGGCAGGTGGTGCCGTGGCTGGTTTGAACCAATGACCCTAGTACTGCCAGGCGGAAGAAGTACTAACCATTTAGCCACTGTGCTGCCCATATATATAATTTTGTTTTTTAAATATATTGAATATGGCCAAAATTGTAGTATTTCAAATATATGTCAATATATTTGGGAAGAATATTTTTAAAATATATTCCAAATATATTTTTCTTCCGTATGGGAAAGGTGCTTGTTTCTTATATTACCTTGTCCTTATTGCAGAAATCTCTGTTCTTTATTCTGCCTGAACATTTCACTATACGCAGTGATATTTTCTGATTACTGTAATCTTGTTCCCTTGTCTACATTTAGCTTTCTGGCCTGGCTGTTCTATGGTACAACAAATATTGCTGGCCTCATATATATAAAGATTAAGAAGCCAGATATTCGCCGGCCATATAAAGTAAGTGGTAAAATGTTTAGCTTCTTAGCTATATCCACAATGTACAAAGTAT